ACACACACGGAGAGAGAGAGAGAGAGAGAGAGAGAGAGAGAGAGGAGAGAGAGAGAAACTGAGTGTTGAAGGTCCATAGACTTACCATAGGCTTAGGAGGATACTCCAAACTGGGGAGAAGCAAGCACAAAAAATGGCACATACAATGCAAAATGGGTTAATGGTTTTTAAAAGCCCAGATATTTTATGCCACTTTTTGCTTCAAAGCCTTCAAAAAGTTCCCCAGCATGGCTGGGCATGGTAAGTGTACCTTTAATCCCAACACTTGGAAGTCAGAGACAAGTGGATTATCTGAGATTGAGACCAACCTGGTCTACAGAGGGAGTTCAAGGCCAGCTGTGGCTACAGGGAGACACTGTCTCAAAAAACAAACAATTCCCAGTATGTATAGAAATCAAGATATTCCCAGTCCTCTATACTTTCCCAGACTCATTTTGTGCCATTTTTAAGTTTACCACCCTCCTGCAGCCCCTGCCTTCCAACACACTGAAATAGATGCATAAACACACCACTCTTCTCCCCTTAGGTTTTCCCAATCCAAGCTGCTGTGTTGCAGCACATAGCTTACTCTCCCCCCTGTGCAAATGGAGCAACCAGGACACTGCTGTACATATAGCAAGTGACCCTTACATACCTGTTAGTCTGCTGAGCATGCCTTAAATCCAAGCACCTCGGAGGCAGAGGCAGGCGGAGTTCTGTGAGTTCAAGGCCAGCCTAGTCTACATAGTGAGTTCCAGGCCAGCTAGAGCTACAGGGAGACCCTGTCTCAAAAAAATAGAGCCCCCCCCCCAATACCTATCACGTGAAAGATAGGCAGATAGAGAATCATCACCTCAGGGCAGGCAGAGGGATTAACTATGAGAATGCAAAAGAGCAGAATCTGGGGCTGGAGAGATGGCTCAGCAGTTAAGAGCACTGGCTGTTCTTCCACCTGGTTCAATTCTCAGCACCCACATGGCAACTAATGACCGTCCATAACTCTAGTCCCAGGGGATCTGACTCTTTCTTCTGCCCTTCTTGGGCATTACACACCATGGATACACTTATACACACCCAGGCAATACACTCATACACATAAAATAAAAATAATAAAATATTAAAGAAAAAGAGCAGAATCTAAGAAGAAAAAAAAAAGTATGATCTGAAGACTGATCGGGAGTAGAGAGGAAGGAAGAGGATAAAAGCTGAACAATAACAAACCCACTGATGCTAGGCACAGTGGACACACCTCCCAGTATTCAAGAAGCTGAGGCAAGATCATGAGGTTGAGGTTAGCCTGGGTGACAAAGAGAAAACAAAAACCCACCCAGGGGTTTTAACTGAGGTCTTGGTATCTTTGGTAAGTGGAGACTGGGGGTTCTGGGCATTGAGAGTGAGAAGTTGAAGTGAGGGAGCCATAGCAGCCAAGGAGGATACAGATGCTGAGGGAACTGGGGAGCTGGTGCTTTAAACAGCAGTTTTTCATATTTGCTGTCATCTTACTAATACACCCCCCCCATACCTTTTCCTTTTAAAAGTTTCTGGATCAAGCCAGGCTTGGTGGCGCACGCCTTTAATCCCAGCACTCTGGGAGGCAGAGGCAGGCAGATCTCTGTGAGTTCAAGGCCAGCCTGATCTACATAGTGAGTTCCAGGACAGCTGGGGCTACAGGGAGACCCTGTCTCAAAAAGACCAAAGAAAAAAAAAAAAAGTTTCTGGATCAAATAGAATTTTTTCCGTAAAAATGTTTTCGAATTAAAACATCCACAAATTAAAAATGCAAACAATACAATTTGAGTGGAAAGTAAGCCTTGACACCTGAACCCATACCATTATCTCTCCTTGCCTATTTTTGTGCTTTAGACCAGGGAAATACTAATTTTTATTTACTTATGTATGCATATATACCTGTCTGTATTTTTTTATTTTTTTTTGGTCAGGGTGGCAGCATACAGAATTCATATGGGGTTAATACAATTGTTTTTAAAAGATGGAGTCCTGTTACATAACCCAGGTTAGACTTGAACTTTCTGTGTAATCCAGGCAGACCTCAAACACACAGTCCTCCTACCTCTGTCTCCCCATTGCTGGGAATAAAATCCTATGCCATCATGCTTGGCAGATTTAATACCCCCCACCCCCCAAAAATCCCTGTATTTTAGGCTTTTTTTTTTTCATTTATTTTTGTGAGACAGGGTCTACCTGTAGCCCCGGCTGGCTTGGAACTTGCTATGTAGACCAGGCTGGCCTCAAACTCACAGAAATCTGCTTGCCTCTACCTTCTGAGCACTGGAATTAAGGCATGCACTAGTATGCCCAGCTGGCATTCCTTTTTTAAAAAAATATGAAATCTTTTATTTATTCTTTGATAATTTCATGCATGTAAATTATGTATTTAATTATATAAACCCCAATTCCCTTCTCCCATTTCCCCCAGGCACCCAACACATCCCCCTCCCCTCTTTTTTTGTTAATAACCTACTGACTCCAGTTAGTGCTGCCTATAGGAACGTTGACTGATTTTGTGCAGGTTATTATAGATGCAGTGAGTTCATGGGTGCAATAGCCATGTCAAGTCTGGAAGACAGCATCTCACAGCTCTCCTCCCCCTCCTCTGACTCTTACATTCCATCTCTATACCTCTTCTTCCATGTTCCAAGTTAGGCAGTCTTTCTCATTACATTTAACTGCTGTATAGCATTCTGTAGTATAGATGTACACTATAGAAGATAGATACTTAGTTATTTGAAATCTCCAACAAGGGGCTGGAAAAATTGCTCAGTGGTTAAAGAGCTTTCACTGTTCTTGAAGAAAACCCGGGTTGAATCCCAGCGCCCATATGGCAGCTAACAACCATCCGTAACTCCAATTCCAGGGGATCTGATACCCTCATCTGTCCTCTTTGGTCACTGAATGACATGGGTGCATTTACACACATGCAGGTATAACACTCATACATATAAAATAAATAAATAAATTAAATAAATAAATTTCCATTGTCTTTTTTAAAAATTTTTGAGATAGGGTCCCACTACTAGCCATGGCTGGCCTGGAAGTTCCTATGTAGACCAGGCTGGCCTCAACTCACAAAGATCTGCCTGCCTCTGCCTCTCCATTGCTGGAATTACAGGTGTGTCCCGCCATGCCTGGCCCAATAAGATCTTTGTACTGGTTTTCTGTACACATTACAAGTATTAAAATAGAACCACTCACAAGTTGTAAGTATTGCAGTTTTAAAAAATAGGAATTGATACAGTTCTTTTCAAATAAGCTGAACCAATCTACACTGTCACAAAATTTTTTTTGAAAGTGTCTAGTTCCTCACATTTTCTTAGGTGTATACTAGCTTTTGAACTTGGCTGGTAAGACACAAAATATCAATAAAGTTTGATTAGTATAATGGGAAGTCCTTAAATTTTATTTTCCCCCAAACATTATCTATAAAGATTATGTTTGTGTTAATGAAACCTAATCTCTCTTTCTCTGCCAAGTTTTGGATTAGAGGACTATCCCATTTCCCAATTCAAATTCTTTAACCCAAAGGCCGGTATTAGACAAAAATAGACTTACAATACTTTTTGATGTTTGGGACTTTAAAGTATTATACAGGCACATGGTGTAGTGCACAGGCATTTTCTGTTACATTCCTCGTGATTCCTCGTGATTCAGATGTGTAGGAAGCCAACGGGTTTTGGCACCTGTGGTCACCGATCTGCCGCTCAGTTATTCCTGTCAAGGCGTGCATCCTTTCAGACCCTCATCTGTGAACTGAGGGCCTTCTAAAGGTTATAGTTCCGTGCTATTCTCAGTTCCACACTGCTACCGTCATTTGGCTGCTGGGTTGAAGCGATGACCGCTATTGCCAGGACCGTGGGAAGATGAGGAACTCGCCGCAGCGAGACAGACTCCTCTAAACAGGAAAGTAAAAATAGGAAGCATTGCAGACTAAATGAGATGTCTCACTATAACTCCGTGATCCTAGGAGTTAGGACATAAATTCCTTCAATCTAATACCTACGAATGCAATTATTTACCCAGTGGTGGACAGTGCCAGGCTAACTTGTTCTGCGTGTGCACCGGAAATAGGTGAACCCCGCCTGAGGCCCCCTAGGTGAAATGCACTCGCCTAGACCTTGGGCTGGGGGCACGTGAGGCGTGGCTGCTGGTGCATCCCCGGATGCTCTTCTTAGCCCACGGTTCTTAGCCCTCGGTCCTCAGCCCTCCACAAGGAAACCTCAGGATGGCTTTGGGCGGAGACGGAGCGGGGGTGGCGGTTGGGGCGGGCTTTGCCGCATTCTCTAGACTTCAATCCGTAGTTGGCACCCAGAGCTAGGATCCCTGACCCGAGGGCTGTCCCTATGACACTGGGCAGGAACCAGCGTTGCGTGACGGCAACCGCGCGGGGATTGAGCGGAAAAACCAAATATGCAGAGTACTCAGTGACTAGGTACTGTGAGTGCAGGAAAAGATACCACGCTGGGAAAGGAGAGAGAAGAGCCGACCTGATGAGACCAGGGACTCACGCGGGAAACGTCTCCAAGCCTTGCCTGGCTGGGGTGGCGGCAGGCGCGGGCGGGATCTCGCTCTGCACAAAAGGCAGGGCTCCGCGGGGTTTGCAGGAGCGCAGTCGCCCGGGACCCCGCGGCTCAGTTCCGTGCCTGGGAGTGCAGCTGCACCCCGCTTTGCGAGAGCCCACCCACAAGCTGAAATGAACCGAAGCGCCGCAGAGCCAGGGGCGCAGCCCGCCATATGGGTGCACGCTGGACGGCCCCAGCGCCGCAGTCGGCCCCCGCACTCAGCCGCTGCAGGCTTCCAGCCACTGCTCGGGGCGGAGTGGGGGACAGGAAGGGGGAATGCAGGGAGCGACTACCGACTCAACCCGGCACCCAGCCCTGCTCCTCCCCTGCCTACGTAGCTCCACCCCAAGCCGGCCAGGCCCCGCCCCCTTTGTGCGGCCGGCGCACTTGCCTGGTGACGGCCCCGCCCAGGCCCGCCCCGCGCCACCGCCCTAGTCTCCACCCGGCGGCGGATCCCGCTGCAGTCCGCGCGAGCCGCTGCCGCAGCGGGGCGAGATTTTCGGTCCCCGGGCCGTCGCGGGGAGTAGTCGGACTCTCCGGCGCCCGTGCTGTGGCTCACGCCGGCCTCTCCCTTGCCGCGTCGGTCCGCTAGCCGGATCCGGTTGACCAGCTCGCCCTCCGGCTCCCACCCGAGGCTCCGGGCTGCGCAGGGAGCCGCCCACCAGACCCTGCCGGGGGCCGCCACTCTGCCTGTGGGACTCTGTGGTTGATGACACCCAGCGGAGAGCTGCGATGGAGGGGGATGCCTCCGCCTCTCCGGTGAGTCGGCGCGCAATGGGGGCGCCTCTCCCGACCCAGCGCAGATGTGTGTGCTGGGACCCCGCTTCCTCTCCGCTTCCCTCGCCTGGGGCTGCGCTTCGCCACCCCCTTTCTGCCTCTTCCGAGGGTCGGACTGGGGAGTTCCCTGGGCGGGGAGGAGGGCGCGGGTCCAAGGCTTGCCCACCTGAGCACGTTGGGACCCCCGGCGGGCTCTCTCTTAGGGTTCAGGCTGCAGAAGTGGTTGGCTCTGGGGACTCTTGCGGGTTTGCGGGCAGGGCGCGGGCCCCAGCGCGTCGCGCCGCCCTTTGTCTGGGAGCCCCAGGGGCGCTCGGGTCCCTCGGATCCCAGTCCCCGCCGCCGCCGCCAGCCCTGACGCCTCTCCGTGTGCTGGGCTCGCTGGGCGGGGCCGGGCTCTTGCGACAGTCCGGATAGAAGCTTTTTCTCTGCAAAGGTCGGGTTTAGCTTGACTCCTAAAGTTTCCCCACAGATTCCCCTGGAAGCCGCTTGACTTGAGTTTCTCATGTTTTTAGCTAGATGGACATGCACAAGACATTAATTTTTCTTTTAAACAAGAATTGCTTTATGTCCATTGTAATCGAAATGCCAAATTCAAGATAGTGATTTAAGGGAAGGAAAATGGAAATGATTTTAGATGCTCCTATAGGTAGGAGGTAGAGCTTTACGGTGTGGTTTTTACTTATAAAACCGGGTGTGAGAATCTGTTTTGGTCAGGACAGTATTTTCCTTTGAATCAAAGCCAAACTTGGTGAAATTAGATAAAACGTGCATGTCTGTGGTGATCTTCAGTGTGAGTTGTGGGTGTGGCCATCTTATTTCTAGGGTTTTAAAAATGATTGAGTGCTGCAGCTAGAGACTTCTGCATCCGCGGGCAGCGAAGTCATTCGGCCGTGGTGCGGTTGTCTGGGTTTATTAACGCACTTTGTATCACTGGAGGGGGAATAGATTAGCGTACATTTTTGTTTTCTTAAACTAATTAATTAAATTTTTTCTGTATGTTTCTAGCAGATAAAATGATTGCACAAAGTAGGAGGTTTTTGGGGTTTTTTTTTTTTTTTTTGGTCTTTTTGAGACAGGGTCTCCCTGTAGCCCCAGCTGTCCTGGAACTCACTATGTAGACCAGGCTGGCCTTAAACTCACAGAGATTTGCCTGCCTTTGCCTCCCGAGTGCTGGGATTAAAGGCGTGTGCCACCACATCCGGTTTAGATAGGAGTTTTTAAATGTTGGTTTATTAAAATTTCAGGAATACTAACAATAATTCATAGAATTTTAAATTTGGGACAGCTGGGAAAAACTTTAGGTAAAGGATGGGAAAAGTGGTAAGAAGCCATCAAACCTGTTCAGTTATGAGTCTAAATGGTTCTCATTTAAAATGGTATTATGACAGACGCCTGTAGTTTTGATGCCTTATGATGGTGCCTTTTAGCTCTCCACACCCTTCCAATATTCATGAAGTGCTTTTATGATAACTGCTTTGCTGCAGAGCATGAGAGTTTCAAGCAGTTTAGTTGCATTACAGTTACAACACATGAAAAGGGTCAAATTAAATGCTGAACATTGCTGATGATTCAATACATTTCAATTAGAACTCCATGAACATATGACTTAGCCCGTTTATTTGTTAATTTTTTTTAAACAGCACTTTTTATTTGGCAATCTTGGAGTTAAAAGAATGGTTAGTGTCTGCCCTGTGTGGTGGTACACACCTTTAATCCCAGGACTGGAGAGGTAGAGGCAGGTGGATCACTATAAGATCGAAGCCAGCCTGGGATGGTCTATATAGTGAATTCCAGGCCAGCTGGGACTACATAGTGTGAGACCTTGCCTCAAGAAAACAAAAGAGAAAACAAAAACAACCCCCTACACACCCCAAAACCAGCTAACCAAACAGACAAAAAGCCCCAAAAGAATGTCACATTCATAATGTTTTAAAATAGAAAATCTTTACTTTTTAAAAAACTGAAGTCTTAAATCAGTAAATTTTATGATTTTGAGCAACTTTGTGGATTTTGATAGGGTATTTATGGTCCTTGTTGTAGTTTGCTTTCTGTTGTTGTGTTAAAACATTTTGGGGAGGAATGGCTTTCTTTTAGTTTACATCATGGAGGGAAGCCAGGGCAGGAACTTGGAGGCAGGAACTAAGGCAGTGAGCATGGAGGAACCTGATTTTACTGGCTTGCTTTCTCTAGCTTTCTCAGCTAACTTTTTTATGTAGCCTAGGCCCACCTGCCCAGGGATGGCACCAGCCCCAGCAGACTGAGCCCACATTCTATATCAATTAGCAATTAAGAAAATGACCCACAGATATGGCCACAGGCCAGTCTGATGGAGGAAATTCCTCTACTGAGATTCCCTCTTCCCAAGTGTCTTAGCAGTTGACAAAAACTATGACAGTCCTCTAATATTTTTACGCCACCCTTTCTCTTATATTTTACTTTCTTTTGTCTTATTGTCCTCAGTTCTCAGTTCTATGCCATGTATAGTAAAGGGTGATTCATGGTATAGAATTTCATAGGAAAAGAGAAATTCAGATGTAAAAAGTCTTAATTCTTTCTGGAAAGGTGAGCACATGTACTTATACTTGAGTGAGCATGTTAATATAGTTACCTTATAAGAAATTTTGACTCTGACTTTTTCTTCATTTTAAGGTGACTATTAAGAATATCGAAAAAGAGCTTATTTGCCCAGCATGCAAGGAGCTGTTTACCCACCCATTGATCCTCCCCTGTCAGCATAGCATCTGTCATAAATGTGTAAAAGAACTCTTGCTGTCTGTTGATGACTCATTCAATGATGTGGCATCAGACAACTCCAATCAGAGCAGTCCTCGACTTCGGCTCCCCTCCCCTAGCATGGATAAAATTGACAGGATTAACAGACCAGGTATGTGGGAAACCAGGATGGTATGGGGGTGGGGGGCTTATAGATATGTATTCAGTTGTAAATGTGGGAAGAATAATATTATTGTGTGCTTTTCCCAGGTAAACAAAACTATAAAACTGTGCCTTTTGATACACATTTAAAATGGATATTGACCACCAACTTCCTGCTGAACTGTTAACTATGTATTATAGGACATACTCTTAACTGTGATACCCTTGATAATGGTAGAATAATGGACTACTGAACTAGGGAAAGAAACACCTCTAAGTGGTGCAAACAAGTACTGCAGATTCAAGGACGGAGCTGCATCATGGCTAGTCCTAGGAAACTTTAGTCAAATGGCTTGGTCGTCTTCCATCTAAGGATTTTATTTTATTCAGCCATTTTAAATTTTTGGTTTTAAATAAGGGTTTTGGCTGGGCATGGTCGCAAATGCCTATGATCCCAGCACTTGGGAGGTGGAGGCAGTTGGCTCTAGAAGTTCAAGGCCAGCCTGGGATATATGAGAACCTACCCATCCCTCCCTCCTACCCTCCCCCGACACAAATAAGGGTTTTTGACCATCATAAGTAGTAGATCTGTAGTAATGTATGGAAGTAGATCTACTTTGACTTACAGCATGTATTCTATATCTGTGTCACATGGCCAACATTTATTTACATTGCTTCCTGTCAGGACATGTTACTTCTGAACAGCTATTCCAGGATTACTGTAGATGAAGATTAATTTAAAATTACAGAAGGTGCTGAAATTCTTCATACAAAAATCAGTGGTGAGGACCACTGGGCAGAAACACAGCCTCATGCTAAGTGTGTCCTTTATATTGAGTTGTGTGTGAGTAGCCATAAGTTCTGGACTTTGGAGTTTTGACTCTCTGAAATTTGGACTTTGAGGTCTTAGCCTTAAATATTTGTCTCTTGTCAGTTTGATAGGATAGGAGTCATCTTTTTAGACTTGTGAAATGTTTGTTTTTTTCTTTCAGAAAGCTCTTAAATTGCATTTAAAGAATGTCATCTTTTTTTCTTTTCCAGTCTATCCAATGATGTGGGTCTCCTTGGGTAGTATTTATGTCTGTGTACTGCCTCAGACTAAATAAGAGTAGATTCAAGGGTTATGCTACACGATTTTAAAAACAAATGTTTTTCTTCAAATGTCAGCCACTACTTACTTGGAAGGCATTTTGCACATATAAAATATATATGTCAGTAAAATCGAGTGGGCAAGCTGTGAGAGAGAGTTTGAGGACAGGGCTAACCATTGTGAGGTCATAACTCTTTGTTATGAGTCTGGCTCACTGAGGGGCAGAAAGACAGTAGTCTCTTGAAATCATCCTAGCAGATAAAACTTGATGATTTACTGGTGGATTTTCATTGAGCAACTGGGAATCCTCTCTTGACTAACCAAGGAAAATTTATTTTACATATATTAGTATTCAACACAGACAGTTAAGTGGATTATTTCTACTTAGAATTAGGTTGTGTTCGTGAACATATTTCATGAACTCCTGTATCTTACATATGATTTTCATCTCTAGATTTGACAAACTTCATTATACAAAATACTAGAATCATCATTGTTTTTAGGAACTTATTGTAAGCAGGGGATTCTGTAGATGCTTAGTGTATGTTGAATGGATGTTGAATGACACACGTCTAGTACTATATTCACACAGAGAGCATGTCACCATGAGTTAAGTGTAACATTGTTAGTTTCTTTTTTTTCAGAACAACCCCATTCCATCAGACATCCCACTGTCTAGATTAGACATGGAATTGTTGAGATTTTCTCCCATTCTATAAGACCACAGTGAAGTTGAATTATATCCCAATCAGAGAGTCAACAACTTTTATGTGAAGAACAGTTACAGGAAATAAGAATGAGCATTTAACATTGAGATGGCTTCAGAGTATGATTCATGTCTTGTGGGTGCAGAGGTGTGCATTGAGTGTCTTTAGCTAAGTTTCTGAATCACTAGATAGGACAGGAAGCATGAGAGAATACAAGTGCACAAGTCCTAAAATTGTCTGAAAATTTTGAAATAGACTGCTTACTTGTACCAGATCCCTACTAGAAGTGTTTAAATCAGGTATTAAATTTAGATGCTGTCTCGTCAACTGGGAATGTTAATGAGCAGATCCTGGCATGATAGACTGAGTTCTCCTTTATGTTACTTTGGTTAGATAAAGGTGACTATTTTGGCTTCCTATTGTCTTAACTGCTGTAAGAAAGCATCCCAATGTAAGCAGCCAACTGATTCTAGCCTCCCATTGGAGCCAGCAGGGCGTAGCTCAGGTCTGTGGAGACCAGGATGGATGCTTATTAAGAGAGCAGAAGCCACTTGGCACTAGTGACATAGGTATTAGGGAACCAGATCATCAGGCTTACTTTGTTCCAAACTTGGTAGTGGTTTTTATGTAAAAATGCTGGCAATTACTTCCGATTATTTAAAAGCACCATCCCAGCTCAACACACTGCAAGATCGTCCCATATATCTTTGGCTCTTGACGATCTAACTTTGGGGCCATCCATACTTCCAGTCTTTGTTTGAAGCAGTGGGTGGCTGACCATTTTCTGCAAATATTGGAGATATAATTTCTGCTTTGAGGGGTGTGTTGACATAGCTGTTCTGTTACCTGCCAGATCTCTTACACTGACATTCTCTGTCTTACTGAATACCAGTTATATCATTCATTCATTCATTCAATAAATATTTGAGTACCCTTACTGATTACCAGACAGCTAAATGCTGAAGAGTAATGAACAAGATAAAAACTTTTTTTTTTAAGTTGGGTGTGGTAGTAATGCCTGTAACCCCAGCTTTTGGTAGGCTGAAGCAGGAGAATTGCCATGAGTTTGAGGCTAGTCAGGGCCGTATAGTAAGACTTTGTCCCTCCAAAAGCAGCAGCAACAATAACAACAACAACAACAACAAAAAAAAAAAAGAAAAAGAAAAGACCTTGTTATCTTTTAAAGATATATTATAGCTTGCCATTGTACAAAGCTTCATAAGAGATGCAAAAATGAGGGCACAGGCTTTCATGAAGAACACACACAGAGCAAGTTAGTAGATAAGAAGAGACTTTGGGGCTGGAGAAGATGACTCAGTGGTTAAGAACATTTGCAGCTATTGTAGAGACCTGAGACCTGTTTGCAGTATCCACATCAGACGGCTCACAACTAGATAATGGTAATCATTTCTAGAGGCTTTTTTTGTTTTTGTTTTTAATCAGGGAATGTAAATTTTAGGTTTGTCTTCTATATGGTCACCAGTTTTAAACTACTAGATGTGACTACATTACAAATATAATAGTACCTTCCGTTTCTGGGCATTTGTCTATAATTTTTCCTTGGATTGATTTAAAGATAGATTTTCTGGTAAGTAATAACATCCTACCCCACCCATTTTTCCTGATAGGCTTCAGAATAATTTTTTCTTTTTGAGACGGTCTCCCTATAGCCCCAACTGGCCTGGAACTCGCTATGTAGATGAGGGTGGCCTTGATCTCACAGAGATCTGCCTACCTCTGCCTCCTGAGTCCTGCAATTAAAAGTGTGTGCCACCATGCCTTGCCAATATAAGTTTATAAAAAATCAGTAAGACATCCTTGAAAGGGAGATCAGAAGCCTGGTTCACAGCAATGGATATGGAAGAAACTTATTTCTAAAAATTATTTTGTCATTGATTTAATAAAAGATTAGACCCTGGGCACCCAGTACAGTGGTCCTTAGCCATTAAGTACTTGAAATATGACTTTCCTGAATTAAAATGTGTTGTAAATATAAAATGCATACTAGATTTCAAAAGATAAGTTAGGAAGATTTAATAATTTTTATATTTATTACATTTTTTTTTCATCACAGTTTCACCATTTCTTAACTTTTTTAATGTAGCTACTAGAAAACTTAAAATTACATTGTACTTGTGGCTCATGTATTTCAGTTGGTTAATGTTGCCTTAGACACTTAACAGATTTTTAAATAAAAGGGTACCTTGAAAGAATAAGGTTTCTGTGTATATCATAATTACATGTTCAGCTATATAAAGAGAAAAGGCATATTACTTTATATTTCTGATTTTATATATGCAATCTTTCCCTCTTTTTTGTATTTTCCTATTGTCAGAGATATTAGCTTTAGTAATTTTTATTTAGAGTTCTTAGATAGAAATACAAAATAAAATCGAGTATCTTGTTTGACATTTTACTAACAGTTATGAGAGATGAAATTGATTAAAAACACAAATCTTTATGACATAGTATAGGTCTTTAAAGTGTTGTACAGTGATGATGAATTCTGATTCTAATAGGATAACTTGAATGTTTTATATTACTGACTTCATAAATACCCTGTATATCAAGGAAAACACAATTTTTTTTGCTGTTAATTCAATAATTGCATTATGTTCAAGACACAATTACTGCTTTATCTTTTGTTGACAAGTTGTGAATATTCTCTTTGAAACTGAATTCTAAACCCAGCTTTCTGTTCATTGTTCACAGCATCACAACGGAGATCTTTGGGGTGGAGAGGTAGAAAATGTTTTTATGCTTTTGTGGCTGAAGGCAGTGTAGTGTTAGATTTAAATTCTCTTATGTATCTAGAGGTTCTTTAACATCAGTGGTCAAGTCATCAAAATTACATAGAATGTAAACAAATTGGACTGAAATGACTTAAAGGTCAACAGGAAGACTTTTCCAAAGAAGTTCTGATGTTTTCAGGGGCAATCCCTAAGGATTGCTGCTTGCATTTTGTCCGTACGCAGGACAAGACATTGATTTCTTAAATCCTGTGTACTTCTTTTATTTGATTTTTAATATCTAGTATCTGAAAAGCTTTTTACATTTACTTAGTATGGAATGAATCTTAATATTCTTAAATATTAAGGGAGGTTAAATAAGTCAATACTATCCTAGGCGTTAAAATTTTGATCATTGTTAATTTTGTAGTTATAATTTTTGCATGTTTTATGCATATAGTCTTTTCCCTGTTGTCGATGTTTTAAAAGTGTTTGCCCATCAGAGGTTTAATGTGGAGGTCTTACTCATTTGTGGGTAGATAATGTACACAGCTTTTTAGGCTTTCTGGAATCTGTGTGAAAGATAGCTAACCTATCTTTTTTTTCCCACTCCAGTTGACCTTTAAAGTACAATTGGCTTCTTCTTGGTCAAATTCTGGTGATACTATTTCATTAAAACAATACCTTACATGTTATGCTATCCCTTTTCTGTTCTCCTCATTTCCTTGTGAAACTTCTGATTGAAAAATCTTAAAGCTGCTTCAAGAAGTCATGTGAAATCTATTAGTGAGGCTTTAGTGAGTCTCTGAGAATTTCACTGTTAGTCACTGAGAGACAGGAGCGGTTTCTTTAAAGGCAGTTCATTTCAGACTGCCTGTTTTTGATTCATAGGGTAGCTGGGAAGAAACGTTTGCAGGGAGAAGAATGCTAATGTAGTGCTCAACGGGTAGGTGCTCAGTATGTGCCAAAAGAAGCAGATAGGTGCCATCACAAAATCCATTGCCAAACAAGGCCAACTAATGCCATTCCCACCGATGGTTAGGCAGTAATAACCAAAGGTTATTATAACAACCTGCAGTTGTTGCTGCCAGAATATGGGAGAGGATACAACTGCAGAGGTTTGGAATGTGTTATGAGCTGATTTTCTTCCATTCATATTGAAATACATTTTCTTTTTGATATTTAAGTGGTAAAGCATGTCTAAAATCTGGCTCTTTTGGAGAATTTACTATAAACCAATTTGAAAATATTTTAAACACTTTAAAATTGTGCCTAATTTTATGCTTACTGTATCTTTGAAGCAAAGATGTACAAATTGAGAGTATTTATATCATTTATAGATATTGACTCCACAAGTTGTGTGGCTGATGCTTGATCGGAGGTACTCAATTTTCCCATTCATCCTCCCCCCATGGTTTCTGTTACAGAGCAGTGCTGTCTAAATAGAACTGTCTCTAATGACAAATACTCAACCCTTCACCATATGGAATGGCAGCCACTGGCCTCGAATGCTCTTGAGAATTTGAACTATGGCCATTACAACCAAAGAAATGAAAATTTAATTATATTGAGTTTTAATTAAATTTAACTAGCCACATGGGCTTGTGCTTGTTTAGATAACACAGCTATTGAAAGTTGACTCTTACATGTCTTTCAGTGCAGTGGGATTTTTTTCATTAGGTTTACTTACCACAGTACGCTTAGATCTGTTGTACTTTCCTTATTGCTCAGACTGTAATATTATGAGAATAGTGGTAGAAGTTTACAACAGATGAAATGAAAGCTTGTTAGCTTTCATAAGAAAAATTTGAGAGCCTTACATTCCATTTAGAAAAATAATATTTGAATAAGCTATCTGAAAAATCACTCAGGTTTTTAATTTAGTATTTTATGATTTAAGAATTCAAGTGTGATGTTTTATTAAAACCTTATTTTCACCTTAAAAATAAGGGAACAGAGGTGTACAGAAAAGGAATAAAGCATTTTTTTGATATTTCTAAACATGAACACCAAAGTCTGGGTGTCACCAGCACACACGTTAAAGCATGATTTTTGTTTTCATGATTTAATTTTGTTTTAGCTCATTACTTAATTGGTTATAACCTTCATAGAACCAATGATAGCTGATTGTTTTTAACATTGAGTCTTGATTAGTGACTCACTTAAATTTCTATAACCTAATGTGTGGAAGGCTGTAATTAAATGTGAACTTCTATTTGTTTAAACTTGACCACTGCCTTATATGACTTCCAGAATTGTTTGGCTTGGTTTTCCCCCCAGATTTTTCATTGGCATGGTTTTTTGTTTGTTTTTAATTAGCTTTTCGCTTATTTCATCATGTGCTTGCTGTGGTGTGAAACATTTTGGACTGTATTGCATGTTTTTAGAATTACTGTAAGAATGTATTTAGAGTAGGATTTTCAGGTTTGTGTGAGCAGTTTCTTTTTATAAGATCCGTGTTTTAAAAATGTAAAGGTTAAAATGTCATTAAGTGGAGATACTAAAAGTATTCTGCATGTTTGCTACATAAGTAGTATTTGGAGCCCAGTGCCAGTTTGCATGCTATAAAGTCACTTATATAAATAATACTTTGGGCTGTCTGCTAAATTTCACCTGAAATCATACAAGCCATCTTTTAAGGTACTTTCCTGAGTGATGATGGCCATCTTCACAGGCAATATTAATGTTGCTATTTAAAGACCCTTGCCAAATATAGCACACTGAATTTACCCATCTGTCTTTGGTATTGGATCCGTGGTAGTATGAAAGAAGGCTGTAGGTTAGAAAGTTGCTGTTTGTATTGTGGAAGTTATTTTGTTGTCAACCAAGACTCTTAATAAATTAAGTATATCTCCACCTGTGTTAAATGGACAACACATGGATTTCTCTGAACCAACAGGTAAGGCCTATCGTACCTTGGCTTCTCGATTTGTTAAAATCAGGACAATAATACTGAATAAAATATAATGTTTAAGGTCATTCATTGTGTGTATTACAAAATTACTTGTGGTATTTTTGGTACTGAATCAAGTAATCTTAATGATTCTTTGTTTCAGGTCCTAAGAAGATTCTAAATGGTTGGTTCCTCTTAAAAGTTACTAATTTCTAGGTTTATCACTCTTTTGTAGATGCTATTTAATTATCTACTGGTCTTGCCTATTGAAATTTCCAGATAAAACAATACTACAGTGGGAAATATTGTATTGCAGTGGTTCTTAAAAATTTATTATCGCATAGTCCTTTGAGAATTTAATGGAAGTATAAACTAACCAGAAAACACACAAATATATGTAGATGGAAGGTTTTGCACACAATTACAAATTGTTTCTGGGTGGGCATTGAACCTGCCTAGTCATGGGCCATGGTTAAGGACTCTGTATTTTTTTTACCCCTCCCCCATTTTTTTTCTCAATCTAAGATGGTTGTTTACTCAAGTGCCTTTGGATATGATATGTGAAACTAGCTATGTTAATTACATAAGATTCTGACCCCATGTAATATTGTCTTATATATTTTATCTTCATACCTGTTTTTGTTTTACTATGGGCTTATATGGAATTTATTATAGAATATTTTTCTTTTCTCTTTGATACAACTATTTGAATTGTTTATTATATACCAAGGAAAAACACTTTTTAGGAAAGCATTTTCAGAATGCAAATTGACTCAAATGTGGAGCCACTTGGTATATTTATATTATGTTATTGTAGAGACATCTCTCTCTAAAACTGACTCCTCTTTTCTTCATTCTAATCATTTTCCTATGACTTAACTAAACAAAGACTTACTAACTATACAGGCTGGAAGCGTAACTCACTGACCCCCAGACCAACTACTATTCCTTGCCCTGGCTGTGAGCGTGATGTGGATCTGGGAGAACGAGGAGTCAGTGGTCTGTTTCGAAATTTCACTTTGGAAACAATTGTGGAGAGATATCGGCAGGCAGCAAGGGCAGCCACAGCCATCATGTGTGACCTTTGCAAACCACCACCTCAAGAGTCCACGAAGAGCTGCATGGACTGTAGTGCAAGTTATTGCAATGAATGCTTCAAAATTTATCACCCTTGGGGCACTGTGAAAGCTCAGCATGAGTATGTGGGCCCCACCACTAATTTTAGACCTAAGGTAAGTTAGAGTAGAAAACATTGACGAAATTATCTTGAGTCTAGAACTTGACAGGGAGGAAAT